CTCCCTGCCTGCGCCGCCCGCCGCCGCGGGTTTCAGTTTGCTGTTCCGCAGCGCCGGCAGCCTCGCAAGGCCGCTGCGATGTCACTCGTGTCCGCGGCCCTTCTTGCCTAGGGAGAGCGGCACGCGTCCCTCCATATGCCTCCCTGTCGCTGTCTGGGTCGCGGCGCTCCTTGCCGCAGAACAGCGCGTTGAGGACGGGCTTAAAACCAGCTCCCTGCTCAGTGGCGTACCATAAATCCTCGAAGAGAGGCCCTGCTGCAGTCTGGCGGCCTGATGGCCTAGGCCCCAGCCTGTCTGGGCTGAGTTATTAAAAGCTAAAACAGAAATAAGGGGACTAGGACATGTAAACATGCTCAGTGAGTAGCATCTAGTGGGAGAAGGAGGTTATGGGAACCGTCACAGGGTGTAGAGGCCTGAACAACACCGACATCGCAGGGAGGGGGAGGTTATTTTTGGTGTCGGCAGGATACAACCCAGAGCGCTGGAATGGGCTGAGGGAAAAGATGACGTGCAGCTGCGAGAAAAGTACCCTGGTGGCAGGGGGAAGGAGGTGCAGGAAGAATTGTTTCTTACAGGAACAACTGTTTCAAAAGAAGTGCTCTTGAAGATGATCTCGTGTGGGACATTTACAACTAAATTACAACACTAGTGGGTTCAGTAGGGCTAAGTCCTGCTGCCTTGCCAACATGATTTGCTACAAGGGCTGGACCAACCTTTGATTAAACCCTTGGTACAGCTGGCCCAGCAGAGGCACATCCCAGAGTGTCTTCCCTCGTATCCTGCCAGTGTGTCCTGCAGGGAAGGTGGCTGAGCAAGAGCCTGGCCTGTACACCTTCCTCCATTGACAGGGATGCTATGCCATTTCTGGAAGCCGGGCACCTTGTGTATACATTTGGAATTGCTGCCTTGGTTTTCTGACTGTAAAGGACATGACTCACATAGAAAGATACTTCTTTCCTTAATGACATGATCTGGAGCTGGAGACTCTCGATGGAAGCAGCTCGATTTTATCCATCATAGTGTGCTGGCTGACACTCGTTCTCAGCAGTTTGAACTTTTCCTATATTTATGCAGTCCTTATTTTTATTAGTGTTGATCAAGAAGGTGTAGCATCCTTTGCTGTGAAGCTGCATGCTTGTCCGCACCACCCTGAAATTGCCAGCTTGGGAACGGTTTGGACTGGTCTTCGGCAGCAATCCTTGTTCTGTCCCGTCCCCCTTCACCTCCGTGTTTAAAGGTCAGGCCAGGCAAAACTCTTGTCAGTCCAGCAGCGGGAAGGAGGCCACCGTGTACAGGACACAGGGCAGCAGACCAAAGGCACTACTGCCACGCAGTGCAGACAGGACCCTGGCTTAGTGACTTACGCAGCACTTATTTCCTTCATCACACAGAACACTCTCTTCAGGGGTCTGAACCTGCATACAAGGATCTCGTCACTTCTGAAACAATTGGGGCTGTACTCCCTAGAAGAAGGAAGCCATCACACAAATGTGGAATTTCCTGCCTTTAGCACCTCTTGGCCAGGTAAGTTATTCCTATACCATAAGCTGTTTATGTAAGCCTTGTGGAGAAGCAAGCACCTGCAAAAGATGTGACAGCCTGTCCTAAGAAATACATTTAATAGGCAGTATGAATGATACCCGCTTTAGGTTGATGGCTACCATAGACCTTCCAGATAACTAACCTTCAGTGAGATGAATTCAGGATCTCCCTAAGGGTTGCATGCTCTGCCCAGGTAGTTTGCGAAGGCTCTCCTCCTTGTCTGTCCGTAGCAGTTGTTACTGGCAAGCGAGGGCTGCTCTGTCTGCTGGTATCAAATCACTCTCTGCTTTGCCATTCAGCTCCACACACAGCTTAAACTGCTCCAGGGTGGGCTGCAGACACCAGAGGTGGCCCAGGCCTTCCTCTTCTTTGCTGTGCAATCCTGCCTTCTCCTTTGTACCGCCAGCTCTGCCACCTGAGGCAGCTGAAAATTCACACTACACAAAAAGCTGTTTCCTGGCCGCTGGGAGGGGAGAAGCACGCTGGTCTTTTGAGAGCAGTGCAGATTTAGATCAAGCGCCTCAAGAAGTCCCTCTGTTGCAGATGTTGTTTGGTCGGTAGCAGGCCATCAGGTTCCTGGGCTAGTAGTTGAGGCGTGCCTCAAGACAAATTTTGGAGATGTCCAGCGGGACTTTTTATCTGTCTTCATGGCCACCCTGAAGCTAGTTAAAGAGCAGTCAAGCAATTGCTTGTGGTGACCATGTGCCATTTTGTAAGCTGTGAAAGCAAGGGGTACTTAGAATTGCCAGAAGTTGGGAAAGAGGATGGTTATTCCACTCATGTCCTCAGTTGTCATGAGGGTGTTTCTCCTTCAGGAGGAGGACAGGATGTTAATGGATGCAAGTGTGTAGGAGTTATGTATTTTGATAGCTTTGTGGTGGTAAATATTTATTATGATGGCTGTAAAGATACTGTGCAGTAGGTTATGTTGGAGTAGCCACCCTTGTGGGGACGGGGCGGGCACAAAGAATGTGTGCAAGCTGCTGTTGCCAAGGCCGTCAGCAACCACGCTCGTGCAATTGAATAAAAAAAATTACACTTTTTTTCCCTGAGCATTAATGCTAATGCAAATTAAATTTCAACTGCAAGACAGTTTTATTCTGGGTTGTCTTTGCTGATTGTTTCTGTAGGCTGGCTTTGCCTAACGTGTTCCTAACTGCCTGTACAAATGATCTTTTCAGCTGCAACATGTAAGAGATGTTAATTCAACGTACTCCTCTAAAAGCCAAGGAAACAAGAGCAGGCTTCTAATGGCTTTTTTCCTTTTCTCAGATCTTTTATTCTGTTTATCTTACTCAGGCACCTGATTCAAAAAGAAAGAGGGGTTTATATTAAAAAAGAAGGCTTATATAAAACATAACGCTTATAATTGCAGCTATACTGTTAGATGTAGAGCTACATGTAGAATTTCCTGACTTAGTAGCAGTTGGACGAATTTACTGACTTAGTAGCAAAAAGGATGCTTCTCACTAAAAATGGAGCAGGGTTTTTCTTAATTAACCAAAATTTTTCATATAATGTAAATGACTTTTATTTTGTCTATAAAGCATGTCTTAAATGTATTAGCGGCAAATACCAACAGACACTAAGCTTGCTTGTACGTCACTGCAATCCACTTCAAGCAGATGATGGTAGTACTTATTTCTGTCATTTTTTGGTCCATTTTTTTAAGTTGCAACTTTGTAAGATGTAGAACTTGTTTTCTGAAATTGAAGACGTTAGGAGATACATGCTATTTCTGAAACAAATCTGAATAATAATTACCTAGCAACCATAGTGTTACAGAAACAGGAGTGTGGAAGAGAAGTCTGCTCTTGCCTCAGAGCTACTTTACTTAGGCCCGTTTAATTCCTGATGTGTTTCTCTAACTTTCTTTTAAAACTTCCCCTACCATTTCACGTCTTAATTTTTTAAGATACAGTACCTGTCCTGAGGTTTCTATCACGAACAGTGTGGAGGGGGGTTGTTATGAACTCTGAGCCTCATGTTCCACAGCTGTCATATGAATGTGTCAAGCTTAATCTTTATTAATGCCTGAGGGAAAACTGGAGACTAGAACTAATAGGATATTTGTATGGTAATTGTTTCTTTTGGGATGTGGTTTCTGAGAATTCATAACAAACTGAAGAGGGTTGCGCCAGTAAGAAATTTATTTAGAAATAAGCTATTTAAACAGCACAACGGAACTAGAAAATTCATAGGAGAAAAAAAATAAAATCTGTTGAAGGCTGTTAAATGTTCAGGCACCCTCTCAGGCATAAGAATTCCCTGAGCACAAGTCGCTGGAGGCTGCAAGGGTATTCTGAGGAAGTGTCACTGTGTGCTTCTCCTGTCTTTACACTTTTCCCTATATATTCAACACTAGCTAAATTAACTTTTTGCATTACTCACTGTGGCTCCTGCATTTTTGCCAAGATTAGGTTAAAGCCCAGAGAAGGGACAGAACCTTCTCATTGCATTAATGTGCTATGGTCTGGACCACGGGTTCATTTTTAACACAGACAGTGATATAATATAATGCTATCACTGAACTGAAGGGTAAGAGAGGAGAGAAGTGGTGTGCCAGGAGCCACTTTGGTAATGTGTTTTGCATGCAATGTGCCGTTAAGGTAGATGAAAAAAATTTTTTTTTTTTTTTTTTTTTTTTTTTT